AGTATTTCGAGCCAAAACAAGCCGAACACGAACAAACAAATATTTGTTCGTGTTCGGCTCGTTAACTTAGCGAACGAGCTGAACACGAGCTATTCGCGAACAACAAGCCGTTTTGACAGCGCTACTTAAAAGGAGCTTAAGTTGCCTCACCACACATAGGGAACCACCACAAAACTTTGGTAACAGCTTAAAAATAATAATATAAGGTGGCACAAGAAACTAATTACCTGGACAATGGTTTCAGCTTTCCATGGAACGGTCCAAGGCTCACCAAGCACGGGGAATATTTTATTTATGGCCTGGATTAAATAATATTGTTAAAAAATAAGCTTATAATAAACAGAAGAAGAAGTTTTAAATGACCTTGAGTATAGCTAACTGGACTCCAAATAGAACATATAGGCATGCCAGTGAGTTGCATGTGTTTACAAGACAGTTGAAACGAATGGTGGGGCAAAGGAGACCCATTGAATTTCATTTGGATTAAAAAAGAAGCATATGAAAAATGAATTGCACCAAGCTCTTTTATGCTCGTGTTTGGAGGAAATATACCGGTCGTTATTTGGACTCGGCAATGGCCCCATTTAACTCAGAATTTATGATTTATTAGCTCGTAATTGCGGAATCTCGTAAAAGTTTGTGGCAGCAAGCCAACAAAACCATGTCCTAAAGAAGATACTATTACATTATCAACTATAATATGTCACTTTAAAAAAAATAATAATAAAAACTATAATTATGTCACTTGAAAACTTAATCATTCAGATAGTAGGAACCCAACGATACCAAGATAAGGGACACACAAGCACCATCCAAGCCTTTAAATTCATAATAAGAAATAAACAACCACATCTAGTATGAATAGTGAAGTGGTCGGTTCACGGCCCTGATGCCTTTCGGTTCAGATAACTATCTTGGTTAAAGCAGAGGCGCACCATGGACTGAGAAAAGCAGTTCACAACTTGCACAACTTGAACTGGAATAAAACTCAAGGAAAATAAACAGCCACACAGATTTGAGTAATACTACGGAAGACGAAACTAAAAAAAAATTTGCAAAGAAAATAAGCACAAAAGAATTCCTTTTCTCCAAGCCAAAAAGATGTTCATTGTAAAACTTACAAGCTTCTTTTAAGACATCTACTCTCCTAACTGGTTCATCAGATGATCTACATTTAAAGTGACCAAACCAACTAAGACGACTCTCTAATCTTGTCTGTCACCAGAGCTGATCCAACCCTTTCACATTGAATTGTAACAAAAATAAATCCAAGCACAATAGCATTATATCCACAATCAACAGTACGTTCATATTTTTCTACATAAAACTTATAGAAAATATAAAAAACAAGATAAGTTAGGGTAGGTTGCTTGCAAGATTAAAGAGTTGTTTGATCGGCTACAAAATGAGTGCCCTACATTCCTTTTGCTGGGGATTTGAAAATCCAAGCATTTAGTTGGAAGAATTCTAAATGCATTGGAACTCATTCTTTAGTACATTTTAAAATTATTTAGAATTCATTGGGTTCGAGCGAATTCTAAATACACAAGTTTATGTATAATGTTATCGACCGTCGTTGCCACCTGCCGCTTGACGTTGACTAGCCATTGCTATCCACTCACAAACATCGTTGCCCACCATCGTTTGTTCGTTGTTGCCGCCTGCCCGCCTGCCCGTTGTCAATCTCATTTTTTACATTGTTTTTATTTTACTTCAAACCAACCAAGAAAATATGAAATCATGCATTTATTTTATATTGAGCCATAGTAATTTCAAATACAATACATTATTTTTACATTGCATTCCTTTTATACCACATTACTTTTTCAACAAACCAAACAAGTCTAAATGAAAATTAGAATAACAAAAAAAACTTAAAAAGATGAGGAGATTCTAGTAAGGCAAAAGTATATCATTAGCAATTTTAGTGGCATTGATATGGGAGTTAACACCAATAGCAAAAGTAAAATCAAATTTATTGCTAAATTCAAAATAAGAAAATATAATCTCACTAACGGAAATAGAAATAAAAACAGACATGACACAAACACTCAAATTAGGATAGATCTTAGGGTGGTGCAGGTGATCGGTGAGGGTTGGTAAGGGCTGGAAGGTGTGGCGACAACAAACAAGTAAGGGTATCACGAGAGAGAGGTGAGAAGTTGCAGGAATGACAATTGTGGTTGTCCTAGGAAAGGGTAGCATAAAGAGGGGGCTGGACAGCGCGGAAGTGGTTGGGAGGGGTCTATTATGAGTTGCGGCAGCAAAGGTGAATGACATCAACTAAGGGGAGGAATTGTGGCAATGGTAGCAAGTTGGAAAGAGAGAACGGGTAGTGGGATGGTTGGAACTACGGGTGAATAGCAAATAGGGATTGTTTCGGGTGGCGGCAGTGAGAGAGAATAATGTAGGCATTGATGGGAGATGCAAGGGACAGCAAGACAGCAAGAGGACGGTTTTCGAGGGCTGGAATTGGAAAATTGCAGTTAAAACAACAACTGGTTGTTGTTTGGGTGTGGCTGCAGCAAAGGAAGGAGGTCAAGAGCAACATGGGGAGGATGCAGAAGAGGATAGTGAAGACAATCACCACCTCTTGAGTGAGATACAACAGGAGCACAATTCAAAACTCTGATACAACTCTTGAAGGAAAAAAAAGGTAGGTTGACGGTTGTCCTGACAAAAAACACACTAAAAATAAACTAAAACACAAAGGAGTGGCCCCTATAAGGTGGGAGGCAAATCCAAGCAAACAAGCAGCTCAGTTGACCTTCAAATCATCCAGAACGAACGATCCAAACCGGGCCTAGCACTGTATCTCGAGAAATAGACAGTTGTGCTAGCCTCCCTCGGTTGGGAGTTTTGACCTCATTCGTCGAAGTTTCTGCTTCATAATATGACATCAGGTCGGCCACGTAGAAGGTGGTGGAGCTACTGTAACTGTCTAGTAAGTCAATCCAGCAGGTGATGTCATACCAAAGTACATCCTGATTGAGTACGTATTCATCCTCTTTTGGCACAAGAAAAGCTAGAGCTGCATATAGAAGTAGTTTCTCCCAAAGTGGCTTTGAGCCACTAGATCCGTAATTTGACTCTTCCACTCTCGGTACTCATCTGAGTGTATCTGATAAAGAAGTATGTAAGGAGGAATCAACTCTGGCATGAAATCTATGATTGTTTGTACCACACTGAAATGTAACCACTCATGATAGACATCTTATTCCCTGAAAGGATCTGGATCTCATTATAGGATGTTATTACCGCCAAAGATCCTAAAGCAATTTCTAATGTTGTTCATCCATTCTCTCTGATCAACTATAAATGTATACACTGCAGAACTGATTATAATGCCCAATCTTCCAGAAATAGCTCAAAAGCTTCCCATCACTGATATGTTGAGCCTCCCTCAATAGGGACAACTTAGGAGGTAGGTAATATATCTGAAAATTCTGAAATCCACTTATCTGAGGTTGTCTTGTGTTTGGTATCAGCTCCTCAAACTCATGGCCGTTTTAAATATCCAATGTCAGCCCTGCTGATGATCCTCTCAATGACTACAAATGAGTAGTTCGAGGCACCACAATCTCATAACTTGCATGAACGCCCATTACTTCAAACTCACTCTCTTCTAAAACTACTGCTAATTCAACTGAAGTCGCTCTCATGGAGTCAGTTGAAATTATTGGTGTCTTATCCTTCTCATTTGGAAGTTAAGAATCCTTTATGAAGTCTTTATCTTCGCCTGGATCATTGTTTATTTCTTCAATTGCTCCCTGATCAGTGAAAAGGAACATTCACTTGGTCATGCACTCTGATTCAATGTGCCCAAATCCTTAAAACTTGAAATACTTTCTGGTTTGGATGAATTTGGGAATATGGATTAGTTCCACTTATTCTATACTCTGAACTAGTGTCTCCTCAAGTGTGGTCAGCTTGAATGTTCCCCCAGATGTACTCTGGCTGTGAAAATCTGTGGTTGAACTCTACCTGCAATATGTGGAGGTCATTCGGTAATGTTGCCTCACAAACACATCATGTTTGTAATGAACTGATAAGTATTGACATTGCATCTTTCATTTTATCATAGGTCATGTAGTAATATGACTCTTCTCTTCTGGCTGTCACCACTGAGATGCACTCTTTCTTAACTTAATGGCGACTATTTTCACCATCCCTTTGATGGGACGTCCTGATACTAAAAAACACATTCCATTGTCCAGATCCACTCGATGAACACATCAAGATCCATGTCATCAAAATTGGCAATTCATTTTTACTTCAAAATCCTGGATTCCCTGGTATTGTATGCTAAGTCTTCGGGGTAGTGGTTCTTCATCTCTGACATCTTCCTGGTGGAAGGAATTCACTATATTCTTTCGATATGGTAAGTCGTTGTTGTGGCTATAATTGACCCTTCTGCATTTCCACCTCTCGAAGGCGGTGAACCTCTATTGTAGTTGAAGAATTTTTAGTCGGACATCCTCTATGGAATGATCTCATACATCACTTTGTGGATTTCTCATAAATAGTATTGTGGCATTTCCTCTCGAATAGGTCTCCAACAATTATTTCTTCCTGGTGTGGTTGGTTTGGGTATGAATAGGTGGAAAAGAGTGTATAGGAATGATGCAAGGTTGGAAAAAAAATTTTGTGTGGTCGTTTTAAAACTAAGATAAGGAAGAATTTTTATGTGGAGATGTGGTTAGGTATGGGCAGATTTGGCAACCCTAGGATAAGACTAAGGTTAAGCTAGCTCTGATAAATAATGATACCAGAGTTAACCCAAACAACAATAGAATAATCAAATATTATTGCTGAATACAAAATAGAGAAATACAATCTCACATACGGAAATAGAAATGACAACAAGCACAACACAAACACTCAAACTAGGGTAAATTATGGGGTGGTAGAGGTGATCAGTGAGGGTTTGCTCCTCCAGAAAGGTGGCAAAGGGTGGTGGAAGGGCTGGAAGGCGTGGCGATAGCATAAGTGTGTGAGTAACCGTGAGAGGGAGGCGCAAAGCTGCAGGAACGACAAAGACAGTTGTTGTCCTGGGCGGGGGCAGCAAGGAGGGACTGCACAACGAAGAAGTGGCTAAGAGGGGGCTATTATGGACCGCGACAAAAAGGGAAGAGGACGACAACAACGAAGGGGAAACTTTACAACAATGGCAGAAAGCTGGAATGAGGGAAACAGGTGGCTGCAGGTGGCTAGACAGTTGGAATTGTAGGTGAACAGCAAATAGGCGTTGTTCCAGATGGCGGTAGTGGGGGAATGATTGCGACAGCGAAGGGGGTGT